CAAAGTGCACTCAGGTTCACACTTTCCACAACAAGGACTTTTACAGATATAAATCACCGATGGGAGTTTTTTTTTTTTTTTCTTAGGGAAGGAGCGTGTTACCGGATGAATCCTAGAAAAGTTTCTCGTTATTATTCGGCCGACATCAACAAACTAAACACACGCAGAGGATGACAGCTCAGACTGAGGAGACGAGGAGCCACGAGGAGACGTTGAGGTTATTTTCTGTTGGATTGATAGATAGATAAATAGATGAGGAGTCTGCCCCGGCTCCTCAATCCCACTCTACATCTCCCTCTTGCGCTCTCTCTCACTCTCACACACTCTCTCCCTCTCTCTCTCTGTGTCGCTGCTGCCACACTCAACACTACAACATTGTTTCTATTTCCGTGTACTCACCTTCGCTCCCGCTGGATATAGACACTCTATATCGGTGGCTCCGCTGGATAAACGTAATTTCAGTTCGCATTTACACGCTGACTGCTATTTTAGGGGAGGGGGGGGACGCTGACAAACTCAGAGAAGCCAGTCTTCCTCTTGTCACCGAGACTCCACCCCTCATCTGACGAACTGTTTCTCTATCCCTCCCTCTCTCTCTCTCTCCCTCTCTCTCTCTCTCCCTCTCTCTCTCTCTCCCTCTCTCTCTCTCTCTCTCACACGCACACACACGGAGTCAAAACATTGGAGCAACTTGGAAAAGTCCCTGATTATTACCAAGAGGTAAACAAAGCCAAAGATAATCTCAGATCTGTTTAGCAGAATATTATTATTAAAAGAAACAGCTGTTTTAAAAATACTCCGCGGTGGTTTGATTCCCGTCACATTCTTCACAACGACATCTGTGTCCCATGGGTGCAGAGCAAAACAAAACCAAACTTGTGGAAACTTTGACAGAACTTTAACTTAATTAACTAATAATAATAATAAAAACAAGTTAAACGAGCCTATATCTGAAGCCAAGTGTTTAATTGCGTTAAAGTACAGTCTGTGTCTTTGGAGTCTGACTTTGAGGGGTTTTTTGGACGACTACTTTCAGCCTCATCACATTAGACACGTTTGACGTCATATCTCTAAGACAACAGCGATGGAATTCGGGGGTGGGAAGGACGCGCCCACAAGCCAATGGGAACCATCAGCGTCTCTTCGGGAGCCAATAGAAATAGGAGAGGAGGGCGGGAGCTGGTTGACGTCCGCATGAGCGTGTCACGTGTGAACATGTGCAGGATCCGAGGAGGTGTGGCGGTCAGCTCAGACTGTGCGCAGGCACGTAGGAGGCAGGTGCGAGAGGAGAAGAGTTTGCTGGATGATATATGAAATATGGTGGGAAAGATCATGTAATCAAGTTTGGACTGGGGACAAGAGATGCACAGGGAAAGTGGAGCAATTCAGCAGGACTTTAAATCTCTAAACTGTTTACGGGTTGAACTATATTCATTTGAAACTAAGTTATTGTGTTGTGAAAGTTTATGCGCATTCGTAAATAATCCGTTTGCTTAAGGTTCCACCGTCTCCAGAGATTTTTTAATATCTTGACAACCTCCATTCTCCAGGTTGTGTAGGGGGGGAGCCTCTCCTGAGGTTGTCAAGAAAACTTGTCAGATGATGAGGTTTTGTCCTTATTTTCTATAAAATGTTATACTGTAATGTTATGAAAAGAACGCCGCAACCACGCTTTTCTCTTAAGAAGGGCCCTTGTGGTCGGCTGCAGTAAAGGTCATAAATCCTATCTCCTCCATGTTAAGGCTCATTCATGCTTCTGCCTCGATAGGTGATAGGTGTGTATTAAACGCGCCGCCATTACAGCGCCAAAACACTTGTGGCAGAAGGGTTTTATGCTGGTGTTGAGTGCCTTTCAGTTTCTGGTCCACGTATTTACAAAGTCTCTGGCCTCTCTGTTTACTTCAGATCAATGGCAAGTGTTACTAGAGTTCCTAGTTGGAGTTGGAGCTGATAGATGTTGAAGAGCAATTACTTAGCAAGAACAGCAACGAAGAAAAGAAAGACATCCTTTGTGTCCGTTCCTTCAACTCAATTAAAAAATGGTGGCGAGCATGCTGGAGATTTGGTGCTACAAATCGGAGCAATCACGGCTCTTTTGCCAGGACGCGTAGTTACATATTCGGGGAGGTGCACGTCAAGTCGGTACAGCAAAGGGCTCTGCGTAGAGTACACATCTACGTGTAAGCTACCGTAGATAGCCAATCTATTGCATGGCCTATTGTTATTCAAGCCACCGTGACTATAGTTAGAAGTTGTCACATTAGCCAGATTTACATTTGGCTGTTAAACAACTTGGGTTGTGTCAAGGAAGGGTGTCCTATAGCAATCAGCTGTAAATCCTCACCTTACAAATCAGCATGCATCAGCAGAATGCTAGTGTTTAATGGACAAAACCTCCCTTAAGTATTTTTAAAATGTGGGCCTTTTTCCACTAGAAGTTCATGGAAATACATATTTTAGCCTATTTATTGGGGGAAAACCATAGACTGTATATAAAGAGGGGAAAACTAGTGACTGCCCTCTAGGTGAATTGCAGCATATTTCAATACAACAGGGGGTGGGTTCTATGTACAGTGTTCTGACCATTTCTGTTTAAATAAATACAAATCTGTGCTGAACATCATGTTAATGGGGCAACCCAAACAGTGTGGATAAGTTCTCAAGTACATATACTCTAGTTTATTTAAGCATTTTCCATTATCTGCTACTTAGTGCAGCATTTGAGATGGAAATGTTTCATATTTCACTACATTTATCTTACAGCTGTAGTTCCATGGATTAATATTTTATCTACAAAATTTAAGATGAGCTCATAAATAGTAATTTAATGGAAACATTTCAGTGGCTGAATAGTAAAACAATGCATGATTATTTGGGCTTTCGCTCCTATAATGACATCCCGTGTCATTAGCTGTATGCACACTAATGAAGGAGAAGGGAGAAGTATTTCTGCCTCTGTCTCCAACTCATTTGTATTAGTCTAGTATAGTGTGGTCCCTGGTGTATTGCGCTACCTTTTTCACCACTTAGTCCCAGTCCCACAGGAAAAGGTTGTGTCTCGCCTTCCTCATCCCTCCTGATTGCTGAGAGCTCGAGGCCAAGAATTCACAACTGTCCTTAATGACTTTAATGCCTATACAAAATACTTCCTGCATTAATACCCACACTGCAGTGCATTCGTTTGTTAAAGTCACCATAGTTATGTCATAATCTGCAGGAACAAACCACAATAACGGTGGAATTTAAAAGACCATTGCTTGAAGTCAACCAGATTTAGTGTCGACTTGTCTGTATCGTTCTGCTCCTGGCTCCTGGCCATGCACTGGTTCAGGTTAAATGAGGTCATTCTTTATGGCCACATGAGGTGATGTGTTGGTTGGCTCTTCCTGCAGTTTGCTTGAGCCTTAGTTCTCTTTTGCTTTACTGTGCAAAAGAACAATATTAAAGGAGCCAGACACTCCACCTGCTGGCTTTTAAAAGGCCAGCAGAGATAAAGTATAATGATCACATTGTCCATTGTTATCAATCGCAGGTGTAGCAAACTTCACATGACATGAAAATAGTGGGTACCTACTCGAAGTGAAAGAAAAAGAAGAGTAGATGCTAAACAAAAGGGCACAGCCATTGTTCTCATGGTAGAGACACAAATGCTCCCATCTGCTTCACATCAGTCCCCATATTGCACCATAATGTTTATTTGTTAGTTGTGGAGGTTTTTAATGTTATCAGTATTAGTTTGTTTTATGAAGTCATTAGTACAAAATGAGAGTTTTGGCAAGTTTTTACTGATAAAGGCATATTTTCAATCATATCTGTAATTTTTATAGTTATTACCCTATTATGCCAAATTAATTTCCTTTCTTTGGGGGTGGCTCAGATTGTATTCTATGGTACCCAGAGGTGCTTTTACTGAAGAGATGTTGTACCGAACAACAGAGTGTCGTCCCAGCCCTGCAGAGTTACAGCCCTGCTATTTGAAAAATGAAGCACAAATTGTCATTTTCTTAACAGTTTTCTAAAAAGCATCCACATTTAAACACTTTATATAAGGACAACATGACTGCTCAACAGTGAAGCCAGAGCATCTCAGTTGCCACCTAGTGGCTGGATTCCGTTTGGGTCATAAACCCTGTCTCCTCCATGTTAGCAGATAGGACTTGGACCAAATAAAAAAACATAGTACATGTTAGGTAAAGATCAATGTCTGTTCAATGCGTGTTCAATTTTTAATTTGTCCTTTTATTTGATGCTATAAAAACAGGGTTAATTGTCATAATTGACAACTGAGACTGACTGGTGACAGGTTGAGCGTGTGCAGAGGCGGGACCTCGCCACTGCTGCTCGCAACTGCTGACTGTGTCTCAAAATGAGCAACATGCCAGCATTCGTATCTTGGATAATTTGGCTTCATTTCTGGGTAGTGGGACTACATTCCTTTCGATAAAAGTATATATAAAGGCATAGCATAATAGTCTGACATTATTTTTTAATAAAAACAGATAAATTGCATGTTATTTTGCTCTTTGTGCATCACACAGAGTGTAACAATAGTTGTGACAAAAAACAATTACAGTCCCCAGTTGTTTTCTTGGAGTGTTTTCAATCAGTAAACCTTCTGCTGTGTCGTGGTTCTTTGTGAGTTCAGACTGCCGGCTGACAACAGTGTGGATCCAGACTGATCTCAGCATTTCCTTTAGCAGCTCTTTTGCCCACCCCACACTCCCATCTTCCCAAAGTTATGACCACTATAAAAAAAAAAACTGTGATGCTAGCAAAAACACAACCAACACAATGGTAGTGGTTTACATCAGCTCATTAGGTTTAACTAGAACATGATGCAGTGGGCTTAAGTATGATACAGTATGTGTTGTAAAATCATTTTTCAAATACATATAATCGCACAAAAGATGTATCAAACCTGACGTGACATTAGCTTTAATTGGCATCACATTTCCGTCACGTGGAAGCAGTCGAGACCCTTTGTGACGCCTGTGTCTCACCTGTTTGTTGTTGTTGCTGCTGCTGCACAGACACCTTCACAGAACCTGCTGTTCCGACCTTCTCCTGCGCGTATTAACTTTCTTTGTCTCTCCTTTTCGTTCTACCTGCAACCCGTCCTCTTCTTTCTGCTGGTTTTGTTTCACTCTGCACATCGATTTACCTCAAAGCCAGACCAGCTGGCTTTGGATGCTTTTCGCTCCGAGCCCTGAGAGGCCCGTCTTCACGCCCTGTTCCTCCTCTTGTCCCTCTGTCTCTCTGCCGGCAGAGAGCAACGAGGGGGCTTGTGGTTTGAAGAGTGGACCCCCAGATGGACATGGACATGTCGGGCATGCGTTATGTGATGGGGCTTGGCTCAGGGCTCTCTGCACCAGCCACAGCTGTCAGTCATAACTCCAGAAGGTGTTGAAGATTTTCTTTCCTACAGTACAGAACACAAAAAATGTCATATTCTGCATACAGGGTAAAGTTTTAAAGTAAATTATTTTAATTTTATGTCTGACTCTTATTTGGTTTATAGCAAAATAAGCCTTTAAAGAGCATAATATTTTTCATGTTGATTAAAAAGTAAACTTTCTTTAAACTTTATCCATCAAATGTCCATGAGCAGCAGTTTGCCTTTTTGATTTAAGGGTAAATTTGACTATAAGACAAAGTAAGCAATGTATTTCAACAAGTTGCAGGGAGATGCCAAATAACGGTTTGTTCCAGCATGGCTTTGATGCGTGACAGCTGGCATTTCCAACATTACTCCAGACCACAAATAGACCCAGACACTCTTTCTCTCCAATTAAAAAAAGGGTCTAAAAACACACGTCTCATGCAGCCAGCTTTATTAGGCTGTACGAGTCAAGTTTGATCTGTAATACGAATGTGGGGGGAAAGAAATAGATGTTTATTTTGTAAATGAGAAAAGCACGAGCAGATCACTGAGTCACACAATTTCTGAGGCGGCAATCTCGCCACCACGATCTCTGAAATAACATTTCATTATCTGAGGCTCATTAAAAGAGCCTCTCTGAAAAGCCCTCAATGGCCCTCACCCATCCCATGGTCCTCCACTCACCATACATACTACACGTTCAGTCATGAGACAAATTCTGCCAACAAATGTCACACTTCAGTTTCAGTGAGATAATGACTCTTATATATAAATGTACTCATTGCATACGCTAAAGTTGGAGTTTCTCACCAAAGCATGCAAATGGGTTTGTAAAGTTTCAAACATAAAATATTCAGATCCAGAAAATGATGGTTTCAAAGTGTTGAAACCGTCCATCCACAGTGATTATATCATATTTACGGGGGGAAAAAGTCTCCCAACAAAGTCGTATCTGTGCGACGGCGTGTTAGATAATCAAGATCAAGATCTAAAAATACCCCGTGTCTCATAGTCTGGATCTCGTCTCTTATTACCCACTGTAATTAAAAGTAACCACAGCCTGTCGGCTGCAAACAGCGTAGAATAGCACACAACTGTTAATGCAGAGGAATGCCACTTGAAATGAAAACCCCCCTCATGATATCAGTGAGCCAGGGAAAGTGGAGCAGATAACGCAGAGCTCCAGTGACTGTGGGTGAGTAGGAAGGTGACCAGTTTGCTGCAAGGGTCATCAGCCGTCAGATGATCTTCTGCGAGACGGTTTCGGTGTGTCTGTCAGACAGGGTTTAATGACAGGAGCGACTTCTCTGGTGTTGTCTGATGTTTTTCCTCTTGTTTTTCTCATCTCACTTCTGTGCAACTCTGACACTCTGCCGTGGGTTTATTTTGTCGAAAGCCTGTGCTTTTCCTGAGGCAGAGAACGACAGCATCACAAAGGTCCCTATGATGAGCTGCATGATCTCTCTGGAGATTAACCCATCTCTGGGGTCTCTTGATGTATTCTCCTCTGTTTATCACACCATTGAATGCTCATGACCTGCGAGGCAGAGTCGTCCAAGTGTCCATCTTGTCTTGTGTTTTCATGGGTGTACATAATTCCATGCAGGTAATAACACATGCTCTTTAATTATCCCCTATATTCACATGAGCCTATAGCTCCATTTATAAAATCTAGTCTCCATCATCTGTGAGCTCATTAAATATTGAACAAGGTCAGGAATGAAACTGCTCTTACCATTATTCATTTTGTCCCTAATTTCAAGTATTATTCAATTAATCACCTTAAATGATTCACAGTGTCATAGGTTGCTGGGTAAGATGAGCCAATTTTACAAACACACAAATTGCATAGAATAAATGGAACAACTAACTTTCTCTTATTTCATCCTTCTGTTTCTTTTTCAAATTAAGAGAGCGCTGTAATTTCCTGTGGTTGCACTAACATTTAAAAAAAAGACAACGTTCATGATGCCTTAATGCCTGTTCTGGCTTTTAGGAGGATAAAACTTTTCTGTTCTATGAGGCGTAACGATCATTTTGTACTTTGCATTTCACTGTCGGCTAATTTCACAGATTTTCTGACTTGATGATTGCATCATAAGCAAAATCCCCGTTGTGTGTGTGTGTGTGTGTGCGTGTGATTTTCTGACATTGCCAGAGCCAGTCAGCAGGTGCCATCACTTCTCATTTCCACCATTTACAGTGTAAAGACATGTCGAGGACAAGCACGATCGAGGGATTCTGCCAAAGGGAATGTGTGGGAGAGACCACTCCTTGGCATTTTAGCGTCGACTCCACATCAAGCTAATGCTACCGTAATTCACTTTGTCACACTGTATGGCAAGGAAGCTAAAGATATCTGGATCCACTGTCACTGTACACCTGTGGGCAGTATTTTAGAGAAGAGGGTGTCTTCCACTCGGCTCCAAATGCTGTTCAGACCTTTTTTCACTGATAAGAACCACATGAAAAGTATA